GTGTGTGTGTGTGTGTGATTAAGCATATCTGCTGACTCAGCATGGACGAGTTTTTTGGCGCATCGTTCAATTTTACGGGCCTTTGACCTGGCATCATCGCTTAGATTAAAGATGATTCGCGCAAAATTACTCATATATTCATCGCTCCTTACATTCTAACGTTTCGAGATCGTTACATCACGATCTATCGATCGTCGTACGACCATCACTAAATCCCTCCGCGTCTCCTAGGTCAAGTTTACAATTTTCTGTTCAGGCCCCGTTCCCTATCGCGCCATTCCGAGGGCAGACCCGCGCAAGCCCGTCGCCCGTCCGAGAGCAGGCCAGCGCGTGGCAAGTCGATGCGTCCCTCGACCACTGGCCGGCTGCTGCCCCAGCTTGCTGCGCCATGTTTACACTTCATTGATATTTATGACAGCCCTCGGCTGCTGCAGAACGCAGTGTAAAATCTGCACGCTGTGGAGCGTCGAGTAAGCGGTCTCACTCAGACACTGACGTCACTCGACATCGCTAATGTGCGATGGTTTGTACCGAAAGGTCAAGACCGATGGCGGCCGTCGCCCGTCGCCCGTGGTGTCGCCGAACTCCGGTGGTGATCGTGGTGACCCTGGTGGCTCTTGGAGGTGGCCTTCTTGCAGCCGGATTCGCAGGATCTGCACTTGGAATGCGTGAGAGTCCTCGTTTTACGAGCGCGCTTGGCGTGGGCACCAATCGGTAAATATATGGGTAGATGAGTAGGTGGGGTGATATTAGAGATGCCGGGTTCGCAAACGTTTCTGAGCGCGGCGCAAATCGGAAAAAGTCACCAACTAAACTCAGCCCTCCAATTTCCGAGTGCTTCCATTTTTTATCGTTTCCCTCAGCTTTTCGCCTGAAACCTTACCTGATCAAAGGGAATCCGCGCAATCCTGTGAGTATTGGCTTGTATCATCGTGTAATGTGATATTCAAGTTGTAATATCAACTGGAGCGTGTGGCGTACCTTAACACTCAGGCCAGGCTGTTCTGCCCGTGCCTCTTCGATCGGGTGTTCCAGCTGTCGGCACTGACCGTCTCTCGGATGTGCCCCCCGCAGAGGCCCGGCCGCGGCTGCAGAGACATGTCGCCACCCCAGCGGACGGAGATCAAGCCCAGCGGCCACCCACGCTCTGCCTCAGCAAGGGCTGCGTCACAGCCGGTAACGGCCGCTGGGGCGACCTGGGGCGTGCGATCGGGGGTCACTGTGCTCTGGGATGCATGCCTAAGCTAATGCTTTCTCAAATTTACACGAAGTATCGGGGAGTCATCGTCGAACTGTGTACTTTTAATCAACGTTGCTTATGATCAGTGGCGGTTTTGTAATGATTAGTGCCCATCGCACTTCATCCAATCATGCGATGTGCATTGTTTGTGTATACAATGTACGCAGCCAGCGGCAGAACAGAGCGCGGGCACATTTTCGTTTTAAAACCAGTTGAGCTGAGGTGAAAGTTTTAGCATGCGCTCGGGTGGGGGTCATATTGACCCCCGAAGGTTTTTCCGGAATGACTTCCGAACGGTGTAGCACTGTCGCGCCAAACGTTGCAGAGCTGTACATAATTGAATAGCAGATCGTCTGGCATTAGCAGTTTAGATGCATCTTGTACGATCGCTGAGCTATGGCAAGTCAAAGTCAGGTCATCGTTTCAGCGAAGGCAGTTTCTAGGAGATCGTTCACTCTGATGCAATAACGGAGTGTTAGACGAAGCCATACATCTTTGCGATACTTTCTCAGGAAACACAACAATTGAATGCACAAATTACATTGACCTAAAGTCATGTCTTCAGGTCAGACCAAGGTCGAAAGTAATCTGATTTTTACTTTAGGGGCCTGCTGCATGGGTAGTTTTGGTGGTCATTTCGAATTGGCTGATAACAGGAAACCGCCATTATAACATCTGCAACAGACTTCTTAAAGGTTATTAAAGGTCACTGACCTTGAATGACCCAGGTCAGCATTTTGTTTTTTAGGAGCATACTGCCTAGCGTAGTCTTTGGTCGTTTATGCAAATGCAAAACTCAAAGCAGTTTTTGTCTGATATTGGTCAACATGACCTTCAAAAAGGTTTAAACAAGGGCACTAACCTTAGATGAGGCAGTGTGACTTTTGCTTAGAACAGTTACTAGGTTCTAGGGGCCCTTTGGAAAACCAACCTGGAATTTGGCCTTGTTTAATCTCATTTGACCCGAAAACCATCATCTAGGAACCTCAAACTTTGACCAAAGTGAGTTCAAGTACAGGTCAAACGCGCCCTGTGAATTTAGTGTCTCTAGCTCTCTTAGTCTCAGGGGGATCAAATTGACCCTTTCCACCCGAGGCGAAGGGCATCCAACCGGCCACCCCGGGCGCGTGCTAGAGGTGAAGTCTGCCAAAAAATCCCTTTCAGTTCGGGTCCCCTTATAAAGACACCACACGTTTCTCATTTATTTCTAACATTCTATTTTCCAGACAGTACCTTTTCACCGCTGCGACAACGTGGCATGGTTTACGCCTACCACACAAGCATTTGTACCATTTTTATGACGCTAAAATGGACATCATGGTTTGGTATATGTAAATACCAGTAACTACATTAGCCGACATTGGAATCATCGATGACCAAATTGCAGTTTTTCCTTCCTGTAGCCCTCCCAATTATACGGTAACAAATTAAACAATTCCCTGCTTTTCTTATTCTGAGACCACCCATGATAACGTAATCGATGCTCTAAATTGCTCGTGATGTAAAGTTAATCAGATCTTAATGGGACACTATGTCGGAAGCTTTACTAAAACCACGGAAAGCTAGGTCAGTACTTTTTATCTCCCTCAACACTTACCGTATATCACTCATCAGCATCATTCAACTGTGCTTTACATGATAAATTTCGTTTAAAAACCAGGCTTTATGTCAACTACTAGTAGTATGTTACTCCAAATGCGACACTATTGAATGTACCAGATTCCTTCCTATAAGTTTCAAGCAAATGCACGTGATTGATATTGATCTACAGTTACAGGATTTATTGAGGCCTCCTCAGCTACACACGACACACACGAACGCTGCTCTCCAATTATCCGGCACCTCTTCCGCGTCAAACAATTGGCTTTAAATTGTATCTTAGAAACATTATTAAAACCACTGCCCAATAATCTTTAGGGTTTCTTATTTCTTTTAGATTTCAATAAGCCTTGCAACATCTTTAGGGTTGAAGGGGTAAACGAACAGTCTCCTGGCGCGCACGGTAACATAGAGAAGAAATGACATCATGGCAACGTTTGACCGCTACAGCATACAACTTGCTGTAACGACATGGACACCAATGTGGACCCGTGCGACGACTTCTACGGCCTTCGCGTGTGCGCGTTCACCGAGCGCACAGTCCATTCCGGACGAGAGGTCGTCCGTCACGAGCTTCTACCCTCTTGGGCAACGAAATCGAGGAGATTCAAATGAGGAAGGCTGATCGACACGCCAATCTCAACTGATGACACTTCAGCCACGGTCCTGCTTAAGAAATACTTCAACAGCTGCATGAATAAAGGTAGGCCATGTTCAATGGCCCATGTCTTTAATCAGTTGGGCTGGCAGAGACTGTCATTCGACTGAATTCCCGTAAGCAAGACATCCCGTATGGTGATTTCAACGTATTGTTATGTGCAACATGCTTTAGATTTATCCTTTAAGTGGGATGAACTTTTTGTAGAATTAAATGACTTGTGAGACGTATCCATCGAAGGTGTAATCAACCAGTGCAAAAATCGTTAGCTTTTTTTGTCTGTCAGGTGTTCTCCCGAAGTTCGCAAAGATATAAACCTATGTGTGTGATGCGTGGCGCTGCTATGTCTAACAAACGGTGGTCGCAGTGTTTCTCACTACGCTTTTCTAAGGTTTAGTTTTTTTGGGCAGAGACCATCGAAAAGCGAGGCCTGCAGCCGCTTCACGACATCTTGGCCAAGATGGGAGGATGGCCTGTGCTAAACGGTGAGATAGCCGAACAGTGGCAGCCCCAGAACTAAGCAATTCATACACATTTATCTGCCTATTACTGTGAATTATTTGCTGTTAAAGTACCTCTTTATATGACTTAAAGTCCTCCTGTTTCCGAGCTTGGCACACACGAACTTGTGCAGACTTTTTCAGAACGCCTACTTCGAGGCCACCCACAGAGATGTGACGTCATAAACACGTTTTTATGAAAATTGCGTCTCCTCAATGGTCATACCGTGTTCAAGGTCAAGACAAACATGGCCACTGACCTATTCATGTCTGGAGTACACCAGCACGAACACCGCATCAACGGACAGCAGCTGGCTTCCATCCCGCTTATCGCGTGACGAGCCTCGATCACGAATCGCGTTGTGTGATTGGTTGTACCGGCATTTGGCAGTCCGGCTTGTGTCGGACACGGGACTGGAAATCGAATAACTTAAGAAAAGCACCTTAACCGAAAATGCAATTACAAGAAAGACATATGTTATCAAGGAAAAGTATACAGCGCCGTGAGAAGGGTCAAAACACGCGCACTCAACAGACGTCGGGGCTATCTCACACGCATAAATTAATAAGCCTCGTTGCAGCGAGTTGAAGTACTGCAAGCGGGCAGCCCATCCGCTACCGTGGCAATTTTGACACAGGCGGGCTGGCAACGACTCTGACTTCGAAATTACCTTCCGTGACATAATCAAATGATGACGCGGTGAGGAGTATATGTACTAAATACTGGACTTTTGCTATCTAGGACAGTGTTCTACACTTAGAGCATGCCAGTAGTTGCAAGTGAGCTTTTCCATGATATCTGGGGATGCCTCAATTCCTTCAAATGTAGAACATTTCCTTCAACATGTAGGAATCAATGGAGCATCGGCAACACATCAGTTTATGACGCATTCAGACCTGGTCTCCACTGATCGAATACGATTGCAAATTTCAAAGGCTTAACCCATGCTCGGGTGGGGAGTTAACTTGACCCCCCCCCCCCCCCCCGGAGGTTTTCCCGGAATGGTTTCCGAACGGCGCGGCGCAGCCGCGCCAAATTTTGCCTGGCTGTAGAAAATTGAATATCAAATAGTTTGGTTTAAACAATTTAGATGTACCTTGTAAGGTCGCTGACCTATGGCAGGTCAAAGTCAGGTCGTGGTTTCAGCAAAGTCAATTTCTAGGGAATCGTTTAATCTGATGCAACAACGGAGTGTCATACAAAGACATACATCTTTGAGGCAACATCTCTGATGCTTTCTCAGGCAACACACATATTAAATGAGCAAATCATGTCGACCCAAGGTCAGGCATGAATGTCAGACCAAGGTCAAAACCAGCCTGTTTTATTACTCTAGGGCTTGCTGTATGGTATAGTTTCTGGTGCTCATTTCGAAGTTATTGATAGCAGGAACCGCATTATACGTCTTCCATCGACTTGTTAGATGTCAGATTAGGCCATTGATTTAAAATGACCCGGTTCAGCATTTTTTGTTTGTTCGAAACATACTGCGTAGCGTAATCTTCGTCGCTTATTCAAATGCCGAACTCTTGAGAACAGAACAGCAGAACAGAGCAGTCTTGTATGGTTTTGGTCACCATGACCTTAAAAAGGTCAAACGAAGTCACCGACCTGAAATGAGCATGTGACCTTTTGCTTAGAAACAGCCATCTACGTTCTGGGGAACTTTGAGACCAACCTGAATTTTGACTTGAAGTCAAGACTTGAGCCACCGATAAACGGTGAATTCGATTGCCGGGCACATTTGGCAAACCAACTGTTAGGATTCACCAGTTGATTACCACGCTGTCCAATCTCCCTGAAATTTCTAAGAAACACGCCACCTGAGTTTGTTTGAAGAGTAATGAACAGCGCGCAGGTGGAAGAGAAAAAGTGCTGGAACATTCCTGCAGTTGTTTTGGTACCTGTATGTGCTCCAAGTCCACACGCAAGGAAATTTCAGGACATCCAGGTGGTCACAATAGTTGGTAGATTCGTTTTGTTACAAAACAATTACGTCAGATTCAGGGTAGTCAGGGTTAGGGTCGTCAGTCAGATTCAGACATTTGTTCAAATTCATTCAGTACCCTTGCCACTGGCTGTATTCCTATTGGCCAAGTTGCCACCAAGTTGTCAAGCTGTCTGGTCGTTCCCCACCTCCACATTTTAGCACCTCCACAACTCATCTAACAGAACCTGCAATTCGGCCTCACGCCCCATGGAATGAAATAGTGGCTAGTGAATTAATGGCACGACCCTGGTTGTAATGCAAGAACAAGGCCTTCCGATGAAAAAGTTTAATATCTGAAAAACCCGCTGAAAACACTGCAGGGATCGCAGCTAGCAGGACAGCCAACGAGTCACGCTGTGGACCAGGGACAGAATCGCCCACCAAGATACCAGCAAGACTCCTATCATTTGTTTGCCTAGGTATCACACATCGTCAGAAGCCACCGCGTCCGCCTGAGCGGCCGCACCGTTGCCAACACCCAACGCAAACTGAGGTTCGCAACACTGGACACGGGCGATTGGTTCAGCGTGTTTAATAACCCTGGGTCCTTGCAGGATGATGTTCCGGTCAGAACAATTGCGGACATACAAAGGTAGCATACGGTACATACGGTAGGGTCTCTGTTTCGGAGGATAGTGTTTCCAGGCAACTACATATTTCCACATAGGTTGAGCGCTGTTCAAACAACAGATACTCAAAATCACACCACAGCCGCCGGTCAGCCTTCATAGCTCCGTAAACAACAGCGTCCGGCAGCACTGGCAAGGAGCTCTCTGATTTCAGTTTTCATTTCCTTTCACGATCTGGAGATCAGCTGTGCAGGTTTTTTGCAACAAAATCCCAGTCCAAGACTGCATTGTGCATCAAATTATCAACTACTACGAACTCCACTTCACCGGCCCCTGCATCGGCCCTTACCATCTCCACTTGAAGCCAACAAACACCCAGAATGTTCCAAGTGTGCCCAGCGGCGGAAACTAGACGGACAGACGGCGTCAAAGACGGACTTTGAGGAATCGCATCGTCAAAGGCGAACTTTGAGAAATTGCACCGACAACACGACTGTATGTTAGATACACTAGACTGCTAAGTCAATAAGGCGTCTATGGACCCGCCAATCGCTACATGAGCTGTTGTGAGGTTCTCCTCCCGATCGCCGGGTGGCCCGTTAGTCCCTTTGGGCAGTGACCAAAGCCACGGCAAGGCCAGCTTTGGACGGCCTGATATTGGCGCTCCATGGGCCAGTCGGGTCGATAATGCGCTTTGCATCCGCAGCTCTGAGCCTGGTTGATGACACCCACCGGTTGCGGCGGTAGACTTCCCACTCCCAAAAGTTTGTGGCCTGTGGGATCCTCACCGAGGGGCTAGGTGGGAGATTAAGGTAACGACAGATGATCGTTGTCCAGAATCACCGGCCGAATGACAATCCCACCGCTGTCACCATATCACAGCCATCTGCGATCGGGTCCAACCGCATGCCAGGTGTTGCGTCGCCAAATTTATATTTTCAAAGCGGCCTCACCCGCCATCGCTGACCTCGGTGCCTCGGGTCATCACGAGAGCAAAGGTTAGTAGTGGGGGACGCAGAAAGACGCAAATGAGCGTCTGACACCTTGGCTGGATACTAAGGTACGTACGAGGTCGATTGGGGAGTGCAGTAAATGAGCCGATATGACAAAAATGAAACGTTAAACCTGAGGCAAATATAGAGACACGTTCAGGTCACCGTCATAATGTCCATGAGCCCCACTATAAGCAGCGCTTATTTTACAATCAGACATGCAACTTACCACTGTCATGGATATGATAAGGGTCCGTACTATTTGAACCTAACATTAACGCTAGACATTTTCATAGTTCATCTTGGTAATGAGCGACATCAAGTGAACGGCGCAGTGCCGCAGGCAAGGAGGGGGCACAGAGGGCACGTGTCTGCCCCTTAGGACCTGGTTTGAGGGCCCGAAAGGCTGGCCGGAGGTCGTATTCAGGGTCAGGTGTAACCACCTCCTTATCGTGTTTGTGAAGCTGATGGCGTCTTATTTTCATATACCAACATACTTGCTCTCAGTTTGTTACAAATGCACCAACAAGTGTCCGGCGGACTTTGCATAAGATATATAACCTCTACACAATATTCAGTACTTTAAGATGTACAACACTCCATTTCAAGCCACAGAAAAGCGTTGTATTGATCACTTAGTCCCGGTTAGCACTTCAAATTTTGTCACTTGGATAGTCCATAAATTTGACCTAAGCTTACCTCATCTGATCTCTAGGCCAGCCTAACATTGTATTTTTACGTCCGTGGTAATTTTGCCTCATAGATCCGCCTGGTAAATCAACTTAAAAGCAAATTGTGAACGTAAGCAAGGAAACATTGTTGTTGTATGCTACTGGTAGACCACCCTTGAACGGTGACGTGACCTAACCGGACCCTGGTGGAAAAGAGAAGTGATCGGGAAGGACTCCCTTCACAGTTTTTTAGCGATTTTTTCTGTATTCTCAACATCCGTCTTGATGTTAGAACACACGCTCGGGGCGGGGGATCAAACTGACGCCTCCAAAGGTTTTCCAGAATGGTTTCCAAACGGAGCGGTATAGCCGCGAGAAATTTAGCATGACTGTCGAAAATTGAATAGCGGATCTTACTAGTAGATGTACCTTCTACGGTCGCTGACCTATGGCAGACTTAAGTCAGGCCATGGCTATCAGTGAAGGGCATTTTCAGAGAATCGTTTCATGTTAGGCAACACGGAGTGTTAGACGAAACCACACATATCTGAGATAGTTTGGTTGGCAGTAAGTTAGTTGGATTTAGAGTTACAGCTAATCTACTTTACCTTAAGTCAGGTATGAAAGTCAAAACAAGGTCAAAACTAACCTGCTGTTTTCCTCGAGAGCTTAGTTTTATGGGGCAGTTTCTGATGCTTATTTTGACTTTATTTATCGCAGGGACCTTAAAACACACGCTCGATGGACTTTATGAAGGCCAACGTTGGCCACTTGCTTAAAATGACGCAGGTCAATAGTTTTTTTTAGAGCATACCACTTAGCGCGATCCCTGCTGCTTATTCGAACGGCAAATTGGGAGCAATCTCGTAGGCATTTGACCACATAGGCCTTATAAAGTTCAAACGAGGTCACTGAGCCCATTGGCCTTTTGCTTAGAACAGGTATCTGGTTTCACGGCGGTTGCATGAGGAGGTTTAGTTGTACTTGAGACGCCAATCTGGAGTTTGACCTAGACCTTTGACCCTATTTGATCCCAAGATCATAACCTAGGAGCCTCGAAGTTTGACACAAGTGATTTGACGCGAAGGCAAATCAATCCTGAGCATTTAGTTACTCCAGCTACCTTAGTTTCGTAAATCCCAGTGGGATCAAATTGACCCCCACCCGAGCAAAATGTAATCAACCGGTCACCCGGATGCGCGTTAACATACGTCTTAACTGCATCTATCAGAATAATTGTTTTTGACCCTTCGTGACCTCTTGCGGTTTCATATTTAAACTAAGGTAAACAACAACGGCATTTTTTCTCGTACAACGTCTGGAAGCAGGGGATCTCGGGGGAAGTCAACTTTCCTCGACCGGGCGCAGTTGTCTCAGGCCTCCGGCCGGGCCAGGTTAAGGAAGGTAAAACATGCAGACATGCAGACAGACAGACAAACAAAAAGAAAATCTTGCCACCATTGAAATCAAGTGGGCCCTATCCAGTAATATTTTTTGAGGGGAGGGGCTTCACCATCAGGGGCATGCTGTCAACTCTGTGCCTCCCCCCTTTATCAAAGCTCTGGCTGCGCCCCTGGTATGGTCTGATGGCAGGGAAACCCGCCCGATGACAGGTTTCCCTTGAATAGTGACGTCACATGTCATATATTTGAATGCACAACAAATATATAAATATACATAGCTAAAAGAAGCAAAATTTCGACCTCATGTTGCATTGTAACAAGAATCCGTAGTTGCGCAGATTCTTGCTGCAACACACGTTTCACGGGCAGGGGTTAACTCTCGTCTGACTATACCTTGCAGGCTCGGCATGGGACGATGCTGCCTTCCATTGGACGGAGGCCGTGTATCGGAACCGGAAGTTGGGGTACTCACAGAATGACATATTTTGGTTTGGCATCCTACACGACTTAAAAGACCCCACAAGGAACATCATCAGCCTTTTTGACCCGGCTTTGGGCTTCGAAAGGACATCGCTCATCAGAGGTAAGTGCAAAAGCACGCGATGTCGTGTTGCGGCGCCGTTTGTCTAAATTGCGTGGACCACGATCCGTGAGGCTTGTTTGCAGCGACGCAATATGGTGTAGTTGGAATCAAGCCTTTGTGGTCAGTATCACGAAATTTTCGCTGAATTCTCCCCGAGAAAACGCATGACTGCATGCCTGGCTTTCTCGCAGGTTTCAATGACTCAGATGTGCAGGCCTACTACGGCTACATGGTAGACATGGCCGTTCTGCTGGGAGCCGAACCAGGCATCGCCAAACAAGACATGGAAGCTGCGCTTCACTTTGAAATGCAGCTCGCCAACGTGAGATCACAAATTTGGGGAGTCTTTCAGCAATGTTCCGTGCATGTTTTGTTGCTGCTTACATGTGTTAAAGAAGTGGTTCTCACAACAGTTATGATGACCGACTTATGTGAGACGGCACGAAAAAGTTGCATGCCAACTTGTCAACGGGTCTCCGCTCACCATCCTGCCAACAGATGTCGCTGGCGAAAGAGGAACTTCGCGACGTTTTCAAACTTTACCACAAGATGACTCTCGACGAGTTGAGCCTGTTGGCACCTACCATTCCCTGGGTGACCTACGCCAATAAACTATTGGAAGACGTCGGACACCAGGTACGCCAAGCGATGCCAACAACAGACAGGACTGTATGGAAGAAAGCAACACAGCACACAGAGTGTTTCTGGGTGCCTCCGTAGATCTCAACATTGTTTTCCTTTTCTCAAACAGTTCATATAATTTTGAGAACCGGATTAAGATGACGATTGAGAGTCGCATTGTGGCTTTTTTAAAAATCCATAGAAAGCCATATTCACCATGAACACAGGCCGGTCATCGGTCTACGGCTTATACATACTAGCCACGTTAGCATTGTTTTGACACTGTCCCTGTTCGACCAGGCCGGTAACTGCATCTTGCCGAGAGTGCGACGCTCGAGTTCGCGTCTCCCACATCACTAACTCACGACGGTCAGGTAGTGGTCCCCTGATGCTACCCCAGAGATGAAATTAACCTCCTTTCTGTCATGGGGTTTATTTGTTTCAGCTTTCTGTTTGTCGGCCGACAGTTAAATACCTAACGAGACAAAGTGTTGGCTCAGGCAGACCCGTCGAGGGCTGGTGCTGTAGTCCTCCATATTTACCGGCTGAGCATCTGGTGCACAGACGAGCTGCGCATATGCTGACAGGTTTCGAGTAGCGAGTCCGTCTGGGTCGCCCACCCAGAGTTCTTTAAGGACCTGGCCTCGCTGCTGAAGACAACGCCGAAGAGGTAAGAGGCAAATCTCGCACCCAATTCTACAAGTCATCATAGCATCGGAGCTTCCTCGTGTTGAACACAAATTGTCGACATGCCTGGTAAATATAAGGATATGGGATATATCGGGTCCTTTCACGCTCTACTGATTTTGTTCACAGGCTGCGCCATGCCTGTTCAGGCGGGCACGACAACGGGTGTGTGCGTGAGTGTGCGCTGCAACTCTGTGATTTATGTGTGTAAGGCTGTATTGCGAATTGTACAACATAGTTACATGTTGTATCGGAGAAATGAGCGGCCTTGTTTACGTGGGGGAGAGCCCGCTCGTCTTCGCTGCCCTCTCAGAGAGCCCGCCCATCCTCGCTGTCCTCCACCGCGCGCTCCTTTCACCAACAGAGTACAGGCCAACTACCTTCTTTGGCGTGTGGTGGAGGCGTCCGTGAGCCAGCTGAACCTGGCCTCCCGTGACGCGCGCCTCAAGCTCTTCGGTCAGGTGTACGGCACCACCGAGCACGGGCCCCGCTGGAAGCAGTGCCTCGACGACATCATGCACCGGTGAGCACGACGCAGGGACCTTCGCTTTGGTCTTCAATGCTGCTCCGAAAGAATGTGCGTACACATGTTCGCATTAGTCCCAGCACAGTCATTGGACTACCAAAGACACGCGAATACGATTTGTTGTGGTTTGAATGTGAAAGACCCCCATGTTTGCAGCTTTGGAATCCCAGTAGGATCACTGTACGTGAAAAATCACTTCGACCAAGACTCGAAGACGGCGGTCCTGAAGCTGGTGTCTGATATACACAAGGAGTTCGATGCGATGCTGCTGGAGGCTGCCTGGATAGACCGTATCACGAGGTATCGGCACTTCACTTCGTAGAGCGAAATAACACTCCTTTACAAAACATGAAGATGGTAAATGCATGCCCCTCATGGCTCACGAGACGTGGGTTCTATGTTCCAGAGCGGGGCAGCAGTAATTTTCCAATGTTGGCTACATAAGTGCTTTTGATTTTGATACCAGTTCATTAATTTCCTTGATTTTACGTTTTCAGGCCAAGGTAAGCCCGAAAACGTAAAATTAAAGAAATTATGTAATGTGTAAGCTCGATTTGGAATTGGAGCACAAATACGCCACTTGGAGTAGCTGGGGTTCGGTCGCGTTCCGGTACAAATGCTTGATCGTCGCTGATAACAGAAACATTCCCATGCAGTCACGCGGAAAAGGCTCAGCCAATAGAAATCGATGCTAAAGACTCTACGGTGTTTGCAGACATTCACATACACCTGATATGTTGTCCTTCCGCAGGCAGCGAGCAATTCAGAAATCGAAGGCCATGACCTATTACATAGCTTACCCAGACGAACTGCTTAACGACACGATGGTAAGCGAGCTCTACGAAGATCTACAGCTCACCGACGACGACTTCTTCCAAAACATGCTGAACAATAACATTTTCAACACCAACTACTTCTACAGCAAACTACGTGAGCACGCCGACAAGAACGACTGGCGAGAATTCGGCGAAATCACAGCTGTCAACGCCTTTGCGAAATCGACGAACGGCATCAGTGAGTGGTGTTCACTCGGCACGACGCTGGCCAGCTTTCAACCTCACCTCAGCTGCAGCAGGTCTTGGCGTCTTTGAATTTGTATGGTGTTGGCGACGAGGGTCATTTTACTATTGGTGTTTCCTCCGCTTTACTTTGACCGTTAATATGTATGTGAATGCATTCCCCACTGAACAGTGGGATAACGCTTAAAACCAAGTTGGTTTGAAATCCCTTGTAATATGACACACGTCCTATGAGTATGGAAAGCTACTCCTCTGGACCTGCTTGGCAAGACGTGTTATGGCGTACTGGGGTTCCCAGTGCTGTCGGCACTAACATTATTACAAATTCTAACATTGAAAGACCTGCTATTTCAGTAAGTAGGGCAGGAAATACCGGTTTGATATCCGTGGTCTGTTTATCTTATATCTAATGGGATTTTAACGCCTGCAAACTATTTCTGGCGTTGCAGCGTTCCCCGCGGGTATTTTACAAGGCACTTTCTACAGCAATGACAGGCCTAAGTACATGAACTACGGAGCCATCGGATTCTTGATCGGTCACGAAATAACCCACTTGTTCGACGACAAGGCAAGTATGCGCGCGATGTTCAAGTTTTTGAAAGCCACCTGCAGTCAGCATAGTCACATGGAAACGGACTCTCGCGTTGATTCCCGGATTTTGAGCACTCACCTTTTACGACGGAATTCGTGGAAACTCGTAATGTAGCGGTAACTGTAGACCTACTCTGCTCCCAAAACAAATCCTTAGACCTGTCCACGTTAGCTATTTGTGAAAAAGAGTGTAAACCTCTCGTGCGTTTTCTTAAAACAATTTTTGCATGACATAGATCCCAGCACTACTCACTGTATGTATCTTTGAAAAGTCCAATTCAGAACTGGATATAGTGGTCATCCATGCGCTTTACGAAGTGAGGTATCGAAATCAATAGCACCCTATTACGCGCCAGTCTTAACCATGGTTGTCATCGTGCAAAAGCAATTGAATGATTCACGGATATTGCTTGCCTACTTAACGTTGTCAACGAAACCGATTGACGTCTGTTTCGTTTCTTTTTTGTCATCCCCTCGCTCTGTCAGTGATTGGCTACTTCCGTTGATGAATATTTCTGAACGCAATAAACTGAAAGTGGGCTGCCTGCACTCCTCACCCTACAAGGTCTGAATCATTTTTGCTCCCCTTAACAGCCGGTCGTTTTTTTTTTTTATTTCCGCACCACTCATCTTTGTTTTAAATGGGTCATTTAAAAGTATGCCGCACAGCTGAGCGCGAATTCCGGTGAACCCGCGCTAATGGCACCGCGAGTTCAGCACTGACATCTCTCCGCGCGACAGGGCCGCCAGTTTAACGCCGAGGGCAAGCTCCAGGAATGGTGGGAGCCGGAGACGCGCAGCCGCTTCCTGGACAGCGTCCAATGCATCATCGATCAGTACGGCAACATCACCGTCGACAGGGTCAACATGCAGGCACGTGTGGGCTGGCGTGGGTGCCGCGCGGTGGGCCCTTTGGTCGTAGTTGCAGCCCTGAGCTCCCATACCGAATGTGGGAGCTGCCGGGGAGCATCCACAGGTGTGCCCGCGGTACAATGACCGCGTAGGTGTGGTTGTTCGTGTGTGATCATGTTAAGCCTTAGACCCTGGGTCCCCCGAGTTAGACCATGCTCTTCGCAGCACGCTTGAATGTGATATGACTGATATTGTGCGAGTGAGTTGCTTGTATCAATGGTAGAGTAGCGGACAGCCACATGCTGTCTTTGCCTACGAACACCATTGGCTTCCGTTGCTTGTTCTGTCGAAGACCAGCATGATTTGCTGCTGGTTTTCGCAGCTTCCTTTTTTCTGTATTATGTTTACCTGTGTGTTTCCGCCACACTCCTGGTCTTCTGTGAATGAGTAACGGGGAAAATAAGCGCCTCATGCAAACTTAACGTTGCCATTTTAAGAGCCTTAAGAACGAAAAACGCGTCTTGCAACACTACACAGTTTTGAATCACCCGTAAAACCGTAATGAAGTTCATATCACAACGACGCAACGCGACTTGAAGATTTTTTGGCAATAAATTACCAGTATACCTATATGCATGTTTATAGACATATACATGATGTATATATATATATATATATATATATATATATATGTATACATCATGTTGTATGTATATGTATCAATATCGCAAATAATACAAATAAATTTTAATATTGAAACTATATCTACGCTGAACATCACATCGCCAAAAAGGCTGATCGTCTGAACTAATGCCAATGTTGCCTGCTTCCCATCCAGTGCGACACAAACGTGTGCTTTCGTGACCGCGAACTATGTGCCCGACGCAGGTAAACGGCATCCTAACCCAGGGCGAGAACATCGCCGACAACGGCGGCATACGTATGGCGCGCCGCGCCTACGACCGCTACCAGAGCAGTGAAGGGCGCGAGCCGGCGCTGCCCGGCCTGCAGCAGTACACCAGCGAGCAGATGTTCTGGCTGGGTACCGTCAACACCTGGTGCGCCGTCTACAGGGAGGAAGGGCTCCGGCAGGTGATGCGCTCCAGCAACCACGCGCCCTCGTTTGTGCGTATGAACACGGCGATCAAAAACACCGAACAGTTCGCGCGTGACTGGCAGTGCCCGGCCGGCTCGCGCATGAACCCCGTGGACGGCTGCCGTGTCTGGTGAGCGATCGCGATGTTGTTAGTTTTTCAGGCCGCCGCTAGAGTACCATCCACGGCTGTGTACCTATTCAAGGAAGGATACATTTAGGTTGAGTGTAATGAGGATAGCGTGCGAACGTTCTTCTGTGTTCAGAACACCGCAGAGGAAATGCGACGGCTGAGGAACTTTTCGTCAATCTTTTACCACCAGGCGACCCTGTCTACTGGCGTAGCGGTAGATGGACACAGCACGCATGATCACGGATATCAGGTATCTTTCCACTTGAGACTGATGATGGAACGCGCTAGGTTCGCCTAATGAGATGTTGATCCCGATAGATCGCATATCGTTCAAATATAATGAGGAAGGATACCGACTTTTGCGCTGTTCGCAGCATAGCGCGCGGAAAATGAGACCGATATCGCATTTTCTACGCGAGGGTGAACACGCGCTCGGATGGGGGGTCAAACTGGCCCTCCCCCAAAGGTTTTCCCGGAATGGTTTCCCAACGACGCAGCGTAGCCGCGTCGAATTTTTCAAAGCCGTAGACAATTGAATAGCGGATCGTCCATACCACAAATTTAGATGTACCTTGTAAGGTCACTGACCTATGGCAGGTCAAAATCAGGCCATGGTTTCAGCGAAGGCACTCTCCAGGCAATCGTTCAATCTGATCAAACAACGGAGTGCTAGACGAAGCCACACATCTCTGAGACACTCTCTTAGGCAATACGACGATTGAATAAATAAAATAACATGGACCTAGAGTCAGGTATGAGGGTCAGACCAAGGTCTAAACCAACCTGTTTTATTATTCCTGGGCTTGCCGTATCGGCTGGTTTCTGGTGCTTATTTTGAACATTGATAGCAGGAACCGAATTATAATCCTACCATGGACTTCTCATTGGTCAGAATAGGTCACTGACCTAAAATCACCCAGTCAACATTTTGTTTTTAAGAATACACTGCCAAGCGTAATCTTTGTCGCTTATCCGAAAGCAAAACTAAAAAAGTATTATATCAGTTTGGTCACCATGATCTTCAAAAGGTCAAACAAGATCGCTGACCTCAGCTGAGCGCATGACATTTTGCTTAGAACAGTTGCCTAGGTTCTAGGCGCCCCTTGGAGACCAATCTGGAACTTGACCTTGTTTGACCTTGTCTTACTCGAAGATCATGACCTAGAAACTTCAAACTTTGACCTATGTGAGTTCACGTACAGGTCAACACACCCTGTAAATTTGGTCTCTCTAGCTCTCTTAGGTCCCGGGATCTCAAGGGGTCAAATTGACCCCTCTACCCGAGCGAGGGGTATCCAACCGGCCACCCGGGCGCGTGTCGAAAGGTCAAACAAGGTCACTGACCTTAACTGTGCGTGTGAAATTTTTCTTAGAACAGTTGCCTAGGTTCTAGGGGCTGTTGTGAGACCAATATGGAATTTGACCTTGTTTGACCTTATTTGACCCGAACGTCATGACCGTCCCCGTTGAAAACATAATGACTTAAGATCAGGCCGAATGTCGCAAAAAACACGCCCGGTTCTACCTAAATTGTCTGTACACAACCCTATGTTCCGAGCCTAAGAAATATATCACCACAAAAAGTTTTCCATTGGTCGTGTCTTAGTCACTTTTCTATCTTTTCCAAAATACGGTAATCTTAAATCAGATCCGGACTGGGTTGTCGGCTGGGCTGTTTGGGTCGATCTGCATGGGGTTACCGACGTGATGCTGGTCGGTTTTGAGCATTTTTGGTAACCTTTGACTTGGGACAAGGTTACCACCTTCTGGAAAGCATAAGTTACCGGCCATGGCGGATCGATAAGTGAAGATTTCGTTGCGACCGGCCATATAGGCTGGAAGCAAGGGGTTGTCTGCAAGTTAATTTTTGGTGCTTTGGAGCGTTTTTGATCATTGACTTGACCCAAAATCACCAATGCTAGGGAACGAATAAGTTATCGGCCCAGGCGTACCAACTGGCGTAGGTTGTGTGGTGGTTAGTTCCAATATCTCGAAGCATGGCGTTGTGTGCAAAGCTATCTTTGGTCGGTTTCGGGCGTTTTGTGACCTTATGCATGACCTATGGCTGCCATGTTCTGAAAATGATAAGTTGTTGACCATGACGCATTGATAAGTTAAGGATTTGCCACCGATTTGCTGGCCATTGCGTAGTGGTGATCGGTGCCATCTATCAACCGTCGGGAAGACTAACGTTCCGATGCCTGGAGAACGTTCGATACCAGCTACAGGCTGCCGCCGCAACAGCAAAACCGATATTGGCACCGGGGGCTAAAACATCATTCTCCTCCTCCCGGACGGCCCCGGTGTACGCGGCTTCCAGACCATCCTGAGAGACCTGAGTCTCAAACAGCTGGTAGTCGAGCGCACCCATCTTCATCCGATGCCAACACTACTAGACCTAATCGCCACCAATCGCTGGACCTGTTTCGGGCGGCGTCGGCGCGCTACATCTGCCGCGTGTCCGACTGACCGCCACTCAGCGGCATTTTCCGTACGGAGCCGCCGCCGCAAGGAACCGGCTGTTTGCGCCGGCCGTCCGCGCCCGCTCCATTCGGGCACTCTTGACTGTTTGAAATCGCTGACTCCCTGAATGAAACCGCTTTCACCTCTGCATTTATGAGCATTTCTGTGCGCTGTGTTGTTTTCGTGTTGCACGATTAGACCCCGAGTAACCACCACGCAGACGCATCTTCAATGAAAAAAAGAATGTAAAGAAGATATAAATTTGTGCCGACCGGTCTCATAAGATTAGAGTATGGGTCTGTCTGTAGCCCACTGTGGCAATTTCGGGTGCTTTTGGTGACCTTTGATGTGACCCAAGGTCACTATCTTCTTAAATAGATAGGCTATCGGCCGAGCGACATCCCATCGTAAATCTTTGATATAGATCGGCCCGAAAAGCTCGTAGTAGGGGGGCACCAACATGTTACGTCGGTCGTTTCGTCTCTACCCACGACACCTAACCTGTGAGACACATCGTCCCGCGTCGGACGTTGCACAGCCCAAAACTTCACCTCCCCACCTTGTTTCGCTTCCGTGACGTTCCATCATCTGCACTCAAATCTCTCGTTCCATGCGAAACTCAATTTATGAACACGATTTACCTAGGCAGGTAAACAATTATTAACTTTTAACCAGCTACGTCCCAATCATACAGTTCATATTGATTGAAATAGCCGCAGACAATGCGCCATGCCAAGCCCCGTGCCAAATTGTCCATCCGGCGTTCAAGATGACGCACATGAGATGGCTTGTGCCTATTGCGCACGTCTCCGTGCACGTTCCTGAGCGACGTACTTCAGTACATGCATTTAAAGGGAATTTTTCGCATTTGAAAGCATTGAGCCAAGCATTAAATATGAGAAAATAGGCTCACCGCTAAATATTGCTATGTTTTGAAGTGCTAAAGCCTGGTCAAGTGAAAAATTCCCTATTTAGTAAAGATGCTCCTCAATACGCCACCGTTTGATTACATCATGGACTGTTTTTATGACTACACAGTCGTTGCCAGACTTACCGTGTCAAAACTGTTGCTGTCACGGATGAGCTGACTCACTTGCAGCACTTCAGCTTGCGGAGAGGTAGCTCGTTAAACGGCACGTGTTTTGTTGATCCGACCGTCGTTATGTGCGCGTGTTTTAGCCCTCCCTCGCGGAGTTGTTGCATGTTCGTCCGTGATTTTATTAATTTTTCCTTGCACTCACATGCTCGGTTGTGGTGTTCCTCTTGAGCTAATCGCTTCCCAGTCTCATATTCGTCACAGCTGCCCAAACAAACTAGTACCACTGCCCAAATTCCTGCATCAGGTAGCACAAAACATGATTCGTACTCGACACTTGTACTCAGTATTGAAGACCATTCATTTCCCGTTGATGACATGAATCCTACCGTCATTGCACCTACCTGCTAACAAGGACCATCCGCCACCTTTCGTGCATTTTTCATGGCAAAAATACGTCACGTCTGAAGCAGCAGATGGACACCAAGCTGCATCTAATGACTGCCAGTGTATTCCGCATATTACGCTCGCGGCCATCTGGTGGACTCTGGTCACGCAAAGACATTGTTATTAACTTCCAGATCCCATACAGCCTTGGCCACGCTTCACCTAACAGGACATTATGCCGAGGTGCTGATAAAGTCAGGGGCAGTTTGCTTAGGTGAGTGTTCTGCCGGGCTGATATCTGTTTAACGGGAACGCCCGCATTTGTGTGGGCTTTGAACCAAAGTAGCCACCGTGAACACCACTCGTTACAGTTTACACCCCATCCCTTCTTAAAACCTACACTCCACTAGTTTCTGAGCTACACGCCCACGGAGATGTGTCGACATTTTCGGGGAGACTTTTAAGGTCACCCAGGCATTCATGACGCCATAATAACGTCATTGAAATCCTGCCATTTCATTGACCATGCGGCAATCAAGGCCTAGGAAAACATTGTTTTTGAGTCGGTCATATCTGACGAATACGATCAAGATTTCTAGATATAACAGCCATCAATTGGCTCTCAACCAATCTCGTGGAAGGTATGATGGCGTAATCGCACAATAACGTATCGAGTAGGGTATTTATTAAAGAAAGAAATTATGTTGTCTGGAGCAGTATTTTCTACTGAAAAGATGCCAATTGTTAAATGCGAGTTTATTTCCTCATATTTGATCCTTGCTCCGATACCTTTAAATGTGAAACATTCCCTTTGCGAAAACAATTAGTCGTGTGCCGCGCGAATACGACGTTATTGTGGGAGAGCCTTTGGACGCAGTGTAATTCGCTTATCAGCCGACGCGACCTTTTTTGTCCAAATCGCCCCGAGACGGTATGTGGTGACCTCCATCTGCTACCGAGTTTGCGGCTGCATAGGTGCTCACGAAGGACATGGCCAGGTCAACGCACTTTTCTAACAGCGCGCCAGCGACCGCATGGGGCGCGTCAGGAGCGTCAGTCGCCGGCAAGAACGAGACAGCCGACAGACTTCACACCTGCGGCAGACTCCACACCTCCATAGCTCCGAGAAAACAGGACTTGTGCTGAATAGGCGTTGGGGACGGGGAAGCCCTACGTCAGGCAGGTACAGCAATGTGGACACCAGAGTTCATAGCTTGTGGCACTTCTCTGCAGATCACATGAAATCATATTCGTGCTCGCCTCGTACTCGCCCATAATCAAAATACTACGTAAAAAAGAGCCGCATTCCATAGCCATTCGACTTGAAAGCTACCTTGAAATGTTTTCATTGCAGAGTCAACTGCTTATTCCACAAAATACATCCTCGCAATCCGTCTGTATTGCACGCGATGCAATGCATGCAGACACTTGTATTCGGCAATGCCGGGCATTAC